TATTGTTTCATACCAAATAGTAGAGTTCATACAAATTTAATGAAGTATATTTACAGAATAACCCACGAGGTACGAGTGATTACGGGAAATATGTTATATTTGAAATTATTTGAGCTAATTTCACTCGTGACATATTTCCTGTAATTACTCGTACCGATCGGGTTATTCTATTGATTACCAAAAATCACATCAAAGACATGTTTCAAGGAGGTAAAACCTGTCACCGATCAGGATTCAGCTGTTTGTATCAATCCGCGTGTGAAAAAACACTGTCCACTCACTCCAATCGAATTACTCAGTTAACGTGTTGTTACGCGTTAAAAATATAGTTTTGTTAAAAAACTTTAAAGATTACATTTCTGTCTGATTTACACAGCGTTCACTATCGGAGCCATACTATCTAGCATTGATAAAGAAGACAAGTTTCCAAACAGGTTCATCAGGTTTTTTAATCAAGGCCTGTTTTGACAAGATCTCGTCACTGACAGACAGCCGCCGCCGTGCTTCAGCAGAGACACAGATTTCACATCGAGAAGAGGAAACACGCACAGGAGTTGATATTTTGATGTGATTCATTAATGGTCGAATAGCTGTTGATCGATAGTCACGTTGTCCAATGAAAAGAGATCTTTGTTTAACTGACCAATCACTAATTGCAAATATCAAAAAGATATACGCTCGTAACACTGCATTTTTTAGCCCATATGGGTCATCGAGTGTGCTTAAGCTGCTCTCAGTGATCTATCATCTCTAAATGCAATGTCCTTGAATAAATCAAGGAAGTTGAAAGTTTTCCATATTTATTATTGAAATTAGTTCCCGCAGTGCGTGAGTGAGTGATTTGGGTTTAACACCGCTTTTAACAGTATTCCAGTCATATCACGGCGTGTCAGCTTTATGTGGGAGGAAAGCCCGAAGTGATGCAGGTCTCAGACGTTTACCACTTCGGTGAAACCCACGAGCACGGGTATGGTGCTGACAAACCTAGAAACATAATCGTGGCGAACCGGGATTCGAACCCACAATCATAGGTTTCTGGCGTGTCGAAGGGACGCAACTCTGCACAGCGAATCGCGGCGCCTTAGACGATTGGGCCACCCCTGCCCATTCATAGCAATACAGACTTGGTGGGTATCATGAATTGGGGTTGATATTTAATCACCTATGACAAGGACGATATCAGATTTTTATGCACGATTTGCCATTTTACTCTAGAAACCGCAATGAAAGTTGACCGATGCTGGCCTTGAGTAAAGATAGGATAGGGCATTTCTGACATTAATACATCTAGAAATATTGAAGTGACTACACATGGCCCGTGCTCCTCTAACCACACCTAAAAGTCTCTTTCTATAGGAGATTGAATCTAAAAGGAAAGAATGAGAAAGTGATTTAACTTGTCTGGCGACATTCTGGGTGTGACGTAACTTGCCTGGCGACATTCCAGGTGGGACAAGCAAGGGAGTGACGGGCTGGCAACGTTCCAGATAGTACAAGCAGAGGACAAAATCGGAATAAGTGATAGATAATTTATTTAATTTATAAGGTACATCTGCAAGAGGCAATTTCGTCTTTGCGAAGGACTACAATAGCCACAAATACGTTGACCACACTGGAAGATGACGGTGAGGACGCAATGTTGTAGGCTATCACACCAGGAGATGACGCGACGATAGCCAACTCAGGTGAGTTTATGAGTTGAAACTATAATTTCATATTTACCTTTTTCCTGTTCTCTTCTCACCGAGAAGGCAGGTCAGGGGTCAGTTAACTGTGACTAAGAATGGAGGTCAGAGGTCACATGCAGTACTAATAATATTTTAAGGGCCGAAGTAGAAAACGTTTGTGCTCGCTCGTCTAGCATTGCAACATTTTCAATATTTTGTACGGGATAACGCAATTCAAAATCTGGAACATAAACCGACACACACTTTCAACGACTACTATCACTTCTATCAGTTCACGAATTTCATTGTTACGAATGAACGTATTTAGAGTTTTTACTTTGTTACATTGAAAAGAAAACTGAAAGTGACGTCGAAACCATTCAAATGGGCGTCATTTTCAATTCAAATTGTTTTTCCAAAATGGCGTACAAAAACTAGTGGGATTTTGTTACCTTTGTACGTGGTGAAGAAAGTTGCTTTATGATTGCTCTGCTTTTGTTAAAGTCACGGGTATGCTATTCTGTAGATCCATAATTCTGTGCACACAGCTGATTTCTATGACCGTTAGTCGGGACATAATAAGGCATTCTGAGACTTCGATAGGCGTTTACTATGTAGCCATGACTCCTTTGTATGTATAACACTACTATTGACGTGCCATGAACGTAGGCGCACACTGAGTCACAATGACAGATACATTGCAGCACCCACCAGTGATGTCCTGCCACTTCATGAGGGTCACAAATTTTCCGACGTCCATACAGTTTGGCCCTGACTCTATGCAGGTTCATACTCCAATGAACTCACACAAAGTGAAGGTCAATTCTTAAGTAAACACATGATTGTCAGCCATTGACAGCTGTGAGGTGTGAGTAACCGTGATGTAGGTCGAGTTCTGCCACATCCAAGTTCGGGGTGGAGAGGCATTTACTTTGATGTTATTATTGTTTACTGGGGGTAATTGCTTTCTAACTAATAACTGTTAGACATGTTAAATGTATATCAGAATGTTAATTCATAAAGTTTGCTGTAGAAATATATTCGTTTAGCATTTTAAAACCTTTTTCTATTACCCGTCACCCCTACAATAGAAACGATGGCATGTTCGATTTCCAAGAAATGACCTCTCGCACACATTTCCGAGAAACGACAGCCAGTCCACAGTGTTCAACAGTGTGCAAAAGTTTGATAGAAATTAAAACATCTCTCTTTGGATTAAGTTAGGAGTGTTATTTGTCAACTTCGTTTAAAAAACTATGTGTTTTGAACACTTATTATGAACTACTCAAGACTTTGGTGTTTTTTAATCTTGAACTTTAGTAATATTTGTTACATATATAACTACCTGTGACCACTTTTCGGAATGTTCTAAGATCGCGGACCTGTGCACCTGTGTAATTGCGCGTTGCAAGAGAGCGCCGTTTTCCAACCTATGTTGCAGTCATGGTAGAATGGAGATAAACCTACTGTGTTTTGAAACCTCTTTATTATAATTTATATATATTAAAATTATAATAAAGAGGTATCTATTCCACAGTGGGACTACATCAAATTTCAAAACACAGTAGGTTTATCTCCTAAATGAAACAAGCCCTGACCAATACATTACATATATTTGCCTGTGTTTACGTCCTCAGTGTCAGTGTTTGATGATCGGATAGGAGTTGTCTCCCCTGAAGAGCGCTCATCATATGTAAACAATGTTTAATCCGCTGCTTTGTCAATTTTTTGTCCTCTCAGCTGCTCCCGGGCGATCATTTACACATATCACAGTATCCGATTTCCGATCACATAAATAAACAGCCAGTGAATAGCTTCTTGTATCTTATCCTTGGTTGTCCCCCCATTTTAGCGCTTCTGAGAAAACGGTAGACAGGGGATGTCATTCACACATTTGTTGTTGTATCCTCAGTCACACAATATCCTTCTCATTGCAGTGTAGACTTAGCTGTTTGTAATACATTTTTACAGTCCTGAGTTACAACAAAGTTCACTATTATTAACAAATGTAAATTTTGGAATAACAGAGGCGGTCTCCACGAAATGAAAGTCCAACAACTGGTAGTCTAGATCACATACTTTGTGTACTTCTCTGACAAGTGAACGCCTCCCTGGTCTAGTGGTAGATGATCTGCCTGGAGAGGCGAAGGTCCGGGGTTCATTCCCCAGCTGCATCATACCAAAAGATTTTTAAGAGGGTACTTGTTGCCCCCATTTGTGGTCTTTCTGTGTAGCAAAAACATTTGAATTAGAGATCATTCTGGTTTGGTGCCCAAATACTGCAGTCTTCCCATAGGTCTTCGCGGAACAGTTGGCAGATTGTGAATGTGCAAATGAGAGAAAATGACGGAAATAGTTTCAGCTAAAGAGGTTAACCCAGACAGTCAAAATAATAGTGAACATAGGTAGCACACACACACACGCAAGCACACATGCATGCACCTGCTCCCTACACACACAAACACACACACCAGCACACACGCAAGAACACATGCATGCACCCCCACACACCCCAGCACACATGCATGCACCTCCTCCCTACACACACAAACCCACTCACCAGCACACACACAAGAACATATGTATGCACCCCCACACACCCCATCACCCATGCATGCACCTCCTCCCTACACACACAAACACACACTAGCACACACGCAAGAACACATGCATGCACCCCCACACACCCCAGCACACATGCATGCACCTCCTCCCTACACACACAAACCCACACACCAGCACACACACATGCACACATGCATGGACCTACACACACCCCAACACACATGCATGCACCCCAGCATACACAGAAACGCACACACACCAGCACACACGCATGCATACACACATACACACACACCCCAACACACACAAAACACACGGACACACACTTTGTGGTTACAATACTAAAAGATTGCTGAATGTTCCATACACTCCCATCAAATAAATTCTCATTCCTCTTCAAATTCAGAATTTCTCAGTTGGGATGGAGGGGGAAAGCAAGAGTGACAATGACAATCGACCTGAAACAACACAAGCCAGATTAGATAGCCCGCCAGAAGACACCAGGACATCAGCTTAATTACCGACGACCATGTCTTTCACTCGTTCGTGTTGCTGCGGTAATGTTGCAGATTTCCATTCATCCCTTTCCTGTAATAACTATAAAAGCTAAGTGCGCAAATCACATAGAGAGGAGTCAATAATTTTCATCTGCAACATTTAATTATTCCGAAATTGTGACATGGCCCCAACTTTTATTGTGTGGAAAAACTGTTAAAATGCGAAATTTGTCACAGATACTAGAAAACTATAAACGATTTTACTCCAAAGGTCAACACTCTGTTGAAATGGACACTGCAGAGATCAGTGAGACGGGCGATCTGTCGGCGGGGATCATATCTAAAGGAAGTCAGAGGGAGCATGCCAGCGACTCAACAGAGAGTTCTAGTTCAGAATCAGAGTTGGAGAGGGAAAAGGAACGTCTTCTCGCAGAAGAGAAGCGCCTGACTAGATCCCACAGAAAACAACAACTCCGAGCTGAAGTCAATGAGCTAAAAGCTTCAGTAGAGGATAAAAAGGTCCAGAAACAGGCAAGTGTGAAACCCAGGTTCCTGACGGAAATAGTTTCAACTAAAGAGGTTAACCCAGACGGTCTAAATAATAGTGAACATAGGTAGCACACACACACACGCAAGCACACACACACACACACACACACACACACACCAGCACACATGCATGCACCTCCTCCCTACACACACAAACCCACACACCAGCACACACACAAGCACACATGCATGCACCTACACACATACATGCACCCCAGCATACACAGAAATGCACACACACCAGCACACACGCATGCATACACACACACACCAACACACACAAAACACACAGACACACACTTTGTGGTTACAATACTAAAAGACTGCTGAATGTTCGATACACTCCCATCAAATAAATTCTTATTCCTCTTCAAAATTCAGAATTTCTCAGTTGGGATGGAGGGGAAGAGCAAGAGTGACAATGACAATCGACCTGAAACAACACAAGCCAGATTAGATAGCCCGCCAGAAGACACCAGGCCATCATATGTTTCTTCAGGTGTGTATACGTACCATTACATACCATACTTGATTGTATGAATAGTCAGTGCTTCAGTTGCAGGACTCTGCTTGACCAGAGTCTATTCAGCATACACCCACTTCCTTTTGCATTAATATTGATACCAACATGCAACTACCCAGAGGTAGAAAGTGCAGAGCTCCAGATAACTTTTTCAGCATTTGAGTTTTTACTCTAGGGATTCTATTTTAATTGGGTTATTAAATTTTTCATTGGGTTACCAATATTTTTTTCACACATCTATTCATCACTCTATTGGGTTTTTCCCAAAATTAGTGAACAATTTTTATCTAAAAAAAGAAATAATGTTTTAGATGTATATAACTGTTCTAAATATATAGGCTTGACAGATAGCTAGCTACATAAGTGTACATATACACTCAGAGAATCAGTTTGCAAAAACTTAGTTCAGGAGAAAGACTCATTGGATGTATTTGAGAGTGAGAAAGTTGCTAAGATGCAATTTGACAGGGAAATAGAATTGCTGAAAGCATGGACACTTAATACAATATATATTTAGGGTCCATGCTGAAAGTAAAGAGAGATATAGAGAGAGAAAAACAAGAATATGTGGAGAAAGAACATGGGTATGAACGTGAGAGATATGAGCTTGAAAGACAAGAAAAGCGGTAACAGCGGGAGCATGAGCGCGAGATGGAAAAACTAAGCAGAGGGTTTGAATTGGGGAGGACTAGAAGTAGATTTGTTGAACAGGAAGAGAACATTGCCCAATTTATTAGATTTGTTTCTCGCTTTCGCGAAAGTGAAATAGACAGTTTTTTTGCTCAATTTGAAAAGACAGCAACAAATTTATAATGTTCTTGACATTGTTGGACTTCTTTATTACAAAGTGGTCTAGTTGGTATGGCTCAGGAGGCCTATGCAGCTTTATCTGTGGAGGAAAGTTCAGAGTATGCAGTTGTTAAACAAGCCATTTTGAGCACTTACGAACTTGTTCCAGAGGCATATAGACAAAAGTTCAGAAATTACAAAAAAATTGAAAATCAAACCCATGTTGAGTTTGGTATGGTCAAGGAGTCTAATTTTGACAGATCGTGTGCATCCGAGAACGTAGGTGGAAACTATGACAAACTGAAACAATTAATGTTGATTGAAGAGCTCAAAAGGTGTAGTTCAACTGATGTGAAGGTGTATTTGGATGAGCATGATGTAAAAACGTGGCGGGAAGCGGCTACGTTAGTAGATAGGTACACACTCACTCACAAAAGTGTATTTTCAAGGAATTTTCAGTCTAGAGATTATCATGGCGGAGGTCGTGGTAGTGGCAACAATTATCCAGAACGAAAATTTCAGTCCAGTTACCAAAGCTATGGGAGTGATCGCTCATCCTATGGTCAATCGTGGCAAAGTCAGTCCGATCACAAGTCTGTGAATAATGGTGGACAAAGTCGTGGTCAGTCATTCACGGGTTATTCCAATTACAATTCTGGTCGAGGTCAGCAATTTCAGGGTCAGCGTAACGGTTATTCTAGAGGTCATGGTGGTAACCAAGGTTACAGTGGTAAATCTCACTTAGCTAGTAACTCAGGTAGTCTGGAAAACAGACATGGTAGCTATGGTAATGGTAGGAAAAATCAAACTCAGAGTGGGGGACCCAAAGGTCATGGTTGCACCGCAGTGTTTAGTAAGACACCTAGTAGTTTACTCAGTCAGGACATACCTGTTGTTGAGTCCAAGGATGAAGTGAAAATTGATAGGTCTAAGGCAACTTACGATCCTTTCATATCTAAAGGTGAGATCATGATAGGTAGTGGCGATCCACAGGCAGTCACTATTCTCAGGGATACAGGTGCATTACAAACTCTAATACTGGAAGGTATAGTTCCTCTATCAGAAGAAACTTATACAGGAACAAGTGTACTCATGCAAGGTATAGAATGTGGTGTTGTCCATGTTCCTCTTCATACTGTAGAGTTTAAGTCAGTACTTGTTTCGGGAACAGTTGTTGTAGGAGTTAGATCACAACTTCCGGTGTCTGGTGTTGATGTTTTGTTAGGAAATGATCTAGCTGGAGGTGAGGTTAAACCAAAGGTTTCAGTAATCAGCCCTGACCCTATTATGTGTGATGAACCCACGATTTCTGTGGATTCAGTTAGTGATGAAAGTTCAGACACAGCTCAGGTTTTGGATCAGGACATGGTAAAAAGCATTGATTTATACCCCACATGTGCTCTTACTAGAGCTATGGCGTGGAATGAAGTTCAGTCAGAGAATGTAGAATTGCCAGCTGAAGTTCAGTCAGAGGAAATAGATCTGCCAGTCGAAGAAGGCCATGTAGATTTGTCAGAAACTTTTATGTGTGGATTGGATGATGTAGGAGCTAAGCAAGTTATGGATCCTGGTGTAGAATAACGAGATGGTGTTGAATTTAGAGGTGTGTGGTCAAGAGAGGAACTGATTCAGAAGCAAAATGCTGATAGTGAGTTGGTAAAGTTTAGGCAAATGGCTTTGTCTGTGAAGGAGATAGAGAATATACCTGTGAGGTATTACTCGGATTTGGATATTTTGATGAGAAAGTGGAGACCGCCAGACGTTCCTGCATATGAGTTTTGGCGTGTTCAACATCAAGTTGTAGTACCACAGTGTTATTATGAGGAAATCCTCAGTCTAGCGCATGATTCACTGTTGGCAGGTCACTTAGGTGTTAACAAAACTTACCAGAAGTTGTTGAACCATTTCTATTGGCCAGGTTTGCAAAATGATGTAAAGGAATACTGTAGAACTTGTCACACTTGCCAGTTGGAAGGCAGATGCGAGGTCCTTTGAAACTGCTAAAGGATAAATGGTTGAAAGAAAGTTCAGAAACAAACATCTTGCAGTATGTGTCCGACTTCAAAGAACGATTGATAAGTGCAAGCAAGTTAGCAAATGCAAACTTACAATCGAGCCAAGAAAAATGAAAGAATGGTATGACAGAAAGGCAGTCAAGCGTGAATTTTACCCTGGTGAGAAAGTACTAGTATTGTTACCTCTGCAGGGAAAACCACTTCATGCCAAATATTCAGGACCATATACAGTATCAAAGAGAGTTAGTGACACTGATTATGTAATCAATACTCCAGGTAGACGTAGGTCTAGTAGGTATTGTCATGTCAACATCATAAATAAATATCATGAAAGAGGACAGAATAGTGTACCAATGTGTGTGGGGAATGTCAGTGAAAATCAAAATGAAGAACAATTTCACTTTGAAGGTGCTGATGCACCAGCAGTTAAATTAAACAATTCTGAAATTTTGAACAATTTGGACGAGAAAGTATCCCATATGATCGGTAGTAAGAAACAGGAAATGAAAGGGTTGATTATGGAATTTGAAAATCTTTTTCCTGATACACCATCTCGCACAAACTTTATTGAGCATGATATAGACGAGGGGGAAGCTCTTCCAGTTAAGCAACATGTTTACAGGTGTAATCCAATCAAACTAGAGCAGTTGAGAAAAGAGATAGATTACATGTTGACGAATAACATCATACAGTCTAGCAATAGTCCTTGGAGTTCTCCATGCATCTTAGTACCTAAACCAGATGGCGGTGTACCATTTTGTACAAACTTTAAAAAGGTCAATGCCATTTCAAAATCAGACACGCAGCAGGAGGTCCCCGGCAGACATCCATATATGAATATGTTGGGTTACACAGTAAATGTTCCTGCGTTCTGATATTGGTACCTTGTTCGTTTGACCAAAGTGCTCTGGGCTGCTGCTCTATTTGGGTGGACGGCATCATGCTTGATTGAGTTAAGCAAGCTGCCTGACAGGGAGAAGCGTACTTGTGGGGTGATTGGAGTTTGAGTTGGCTGGTAACTGGTTGGTGTGGGCCGATCAACCTTTTGTTGTGTGCTGAAGTAGATAGCTTACTTGAAAATTTGTTTACTATATGAGGGCAAGTTATTGAACAGAAAGGTAAAAAAAAGAAAAAGAATTGGAGAGGGAGAAATATGGTTTAACTGAACGAGGGCAGTTCCGGAGACAAAGTGTCAGGAGACAAAGTTAGAAGGTCATGTCGACGCTTCGAAAGAGGAAACTGTTGTTACCCAGTTATCCTGTGAACTGTGATATGTAAGTTTGGAACAATGTGAAATGGAATTCATTGGGAATGTAATGTCAAAAAATCTGAGGTGACTATTATCTATATTGCACATTTGCCATATTGCTTTGCCTAAATAGATGTGTATGAGTGCCTTGCCCAGTAACTGAGAATTGTTATATACTTATCTTTGTTTTAATTATTAAATCTAGCTTTAAACTTCAGAGATTGTTGTGTGAATCTTGTAATTGTTATTACCGTTCATACCACATGTAACAACATAATAAGGCTGTGTCTTGTAGCTGTCTACATTAGTGCACATATGACAATGCTCTAAATTGTAGCTGGTTACATAAGTGCAAATATTGTAATCATCCCAACAAATCCCAATATCAATATACCTCAAAACATATTGAGCTATTTCTTTGTTTCAGCTACTAACTCATTAAATCTCTTTCCTTGGTTTCAGTTACTGGTATGAGTGGCGGAAATGCAGAGAACTGTAACATTACTGGTCAGAGCATACAGGAATATCGTAAGTAAAATTATGTACGTTTGATGAAACCATGTTTTGCAACTTCGTATGGTCCACAGGTACAGAAACTCGAATCTATTAAGTCACATAAAATTTTAGGAGTGATGGTGTGCTGAGCTTGCCATTTATACTTATCCTGTCTCACACATTATATTTTGTCTCTTTTTTTCCGAATAAAATAAAACACTTTGCAAGCAAACACAACCATTTGCAACTTGAAACACCCACCCAAATGTCTCAATTGCCGTCTGCTGAAACCATTTTATTTTGCTCCACATTACACTGCATCACCAAATAGAGGAAAGACCTGGATAAGCCTGCTGTTTGCGAACTATGTGGTTGTTTTTTACATTTTATCAACCTGTATTTTGCAGTAGATCAATATTCTACCTAGACCAAAGTGAGTTTACGCCATACTTCACTTCTACAATAACTGACGACCTGTCCAACGCCTCAACCCAGGGCGCCTTGGACGTATCAGTCAAGAAAGCTGTTCTACCTCATATGTCGTCTCCGTGGATCCTAGCCTGAAAAGACAGAGCCGGCACATATTTTATGCTTTATCCCTCTTTTGGACTTTACAACAGTTGACTGTTACCTCAACTTCTCTACCCAGAGGCCATTCCCGTACCCAACGAGATGTCCCATTCACCACACCATTCTCCATGGGCCCTCTGCATGTCCATCCCAATTGGACGACATCACCTCGTGCAACCACCTGTATCGGGCGAGTACCTTCCCGCCCTCATGTGTATTTGCTGTCTCCCTCTTTGGCAACACCGCCGTGATATTGCTGGAATATTGCTAAAAGCGGCGTTAAACCAAACTCACTCACTCAGTCTTCGGGAACTACGGCTTATCGTTCCTCTCCACCTGTAACACAGACGACCTGCTGTCATCGCACTCCCTCTCCCGTTGAGACAAGATCCTTTGCCCCAGATAAGGGTCACAGTAATGTGTAATCCATAGGTTGCCTTGGTGAGATGGTGTCCCAGCTCTCACTGGAATCACCTAAGAAGTTGGGCCCTTCCTCGTCGATGTTTGAAATACTGGGTGATGACCTAGCCACTTTAAGGCTTTAAACAGCACCTGTGATTGGGTCCACTGCATCTTCCCCGGATAAGTCCTTTCTGGGACAAAAGAAATCGACTCCCTGAAAGTGCCCACCTTTCGATGTCATGCCCTCTCACTGATGATGCTCATAAGTTGGGTAATCAATCATCCTCCTTTCCTGTGGATGACAGGGATCTGTTTTCCGTTGACACTGCCATCCGTCATTCACTCTTGCTTCTCTCCTTCGCCATATCGGCAAAACAGGCGTAACTTGCTGCTCTCGACCACCCCACGATGTTGCGTGAGGCACAGCTTTTGGAATTTCTGTTTCTTTCTTGGCCCATGCTACAGGTATGTGTACCGTAATTCACTGTTGGGGATATATTGCTCAGTCTTCTTGGGATTCTGAACATACTAGGCAACTCATGGTCGCTCCCGTCCTCCTCAATCAGGTCATCCGGGAAGTTCGAGAAGTCAGTGATCTTCTTTCTGTGCCTCAGGTCGAGGTCGCCTCACTTTCAACAGTGCCTTCGGAGCGTCTTCTAAGAATGATCAATGTCCCACTTTGACCAGTCCGGTGGTAGAGGACGGAACCAGGGACAGAAGGCCAACAGTGCCACCCCAATGTACTTGCTCTCTTGTGCTGCACAACTGGGACCTTGCTCCTGTTATCGTCCGGCTGTTTTGGCCCAACTTAACCATCCTGGGCAACTGTTTGTTACGTCCTTCCTGAAGAAGGGGTGTTTGCTGCCAATAACAGAACCGCCCCTCGTCATTCATTATTCTCATGCCAGTCTGCCAATTCTCAGAGACGCCATACAAAAATTGGTCAAGAATCATGCTGTTCAAGTCTTGGACCCAGCCTCCATCATACACAACATCTTCGCACCGATATTTAGTGCCGAAGAAGAATCCACAAGTTTGCATGATGTACAATATGCAGATCTTCAACTTCCCGTACATGGAACAGCCGACTCCGCACCATGTTATTGCTAAAGCAATTTATCATGGTGAGTGGAGATCTACAAAATGTCTTTCTGCATGTCCAAATAAATATATTACGCTGCAGTTACCTCTGGTTCACTTCCAGGGACATTTCCAATGGTCGGTCCTCCCATTTGTAATTTCCATGGACGGGTTTCCTTTAATCTGTATCACGAAGCCTGTCATTGCCTTCCTCCACCTGAGGGGGATCAGATTTGAACTGTAACTGGACGATTGTATACAGAGCCATGGCCAGCACAATGTACTTCTACAGCTGCTGTGCTTTACCCAGTCACCTTTTGGTTCCGTTCTACCTTCTCCAGGCTTATACTGATGCACATTTACCACCTCCTAGTACCAACAATTGGCTCGAGATGTGTGCACTCGCCTCTCATAATTGCTACCATGGCGGGATGCTTCTGGCATCGAAGACGTTGCTGGTCTTAAACAGTTTGGACCCTAGGTACTGCGACTGCAAGTGAACGTCTAGTCAACAAAGTTGAAAATTTCCTCCTGAACGTTCTGCCTGTACACAGCAATGTCTACATTAAAGTCTTGATTGTCAGTCATGCTGTCCACGCCGTGATATAACTGGAATAATGTTAAAAGCGGCGTTAAACCCAACACACTCACTCAGGCATGAGGTCTTATTGATGTACATGGTCATTCTCATCTGCGAATCACACAGTTATATGATGTAAGACTATTTCGTCGTAGTCGAGGCTGGGTACACATTAACATTACAATGATGTGGTAAATTCAACAGAAACCGTAAAAGTTTCCGTCCTGTGTGACACCATGACTGACGCTAAATCACGCACAACGACGACGGTAGGTATCTGCATTTCTGACTAAATCTCTTTGTTTCATTGGATGACATGGTAAACAAATAACAGTACGCAGATTGTCAGAATGTTTCTGATTTCTTACGGGACACATGTATGTAATATGATCCCTCAATGAACAAAATTCTCCTCTGGTAATCCCGCGTACTGTTGTCAGTGAACACACCATTTTGTAAAAGACGGTCACCGGTAGTGATGTCATACGGAAGTAAACATTGTTGTACATATTTGGTAATTTCTTTGAGATGTTAACTTTTAACTCGGCATCATGTGTGTTCTTTCTTTTTGTTTGCATTAATATCATCATCGCCATTGATTCGATGCTAGAAAGGTGCGATTTTAGCGTGTGTGAGAAACAGGTCACTGCACTCGTGCCTGTCAGATACCATTGATCTTACAACTCGTTGTTTCAAAGCGAAATTGGTATTACATGGGAGCTCGTTAAGTATTCGATAGTTATTACTCATCCATGAAGAGATCACCCGATTAATAAACATACAGCGGTATTACACATAGTTTAATAACATCACGTGAACACGGAATTATTTTTGGCCAGCCACATGATACATCACATGACCAAACAAAATGGCTACTGTCAAAATGTACCGATTCTCACCAGGGCGTGATTACAAATACTTTTTGTTCATATAAATTATTATGAAATCGAAAAAGTAATCTGTTCTAAATATACGGATGAGAAAATATTCATTAATTAGAAATAATAAATGACATGAAAATTAAAGAATGATCCTATCACAATGGCAACCGAAGCTATAAAAGTAAATGATTGTGTCAAAATTGATGGTCAGCTGAAGGGACGGGTACTATCGGTTGTTCAACCTTTAGGGACATACATCATGTTCAACGTTAAACTGGATGATGGTTCCATGAAACAGGTACCTCGCTATCGAATGCAACGAATTCCGGAGACAGTTTCGGCCACGTTACCCCCACCCACCTTTGATGATAATGGCAACAGTTTGTTCGATCCTAATGATCTATTCAAAGATGACTTGTTTGTTAATTGTGCCTGTGCCTCTAAAGGGGGATGAAATACCTGTTCCGCCAACCCACTGTGACGATTCCGAAATTGCGAATTTCATTGCAACAGAATGTGAACACTTCCAGGAAGGCCGTGTATGACATGAAAATCATCACTAGATTCATGCACGAGCAGAATGTCTTTAGACAGCTAGAAGCTATTCCGGCCCATGAACTTTATAAACTTTTATGCAAATTCTTTATGAACGTCAAAAAGGGTCCGATTATGAGCCCAAAAGTTTGAGGGGGATGATTGCCAGTATAGACAGGCACCTCAAAACAAAATTTTACGGGAAAAATCAATCATGCACGATATAGAGTTTACATCAGGGAGGTACTGAAAACCAAACAAAAAATTCTATAACAAGAAGGTCTCAGAAACTTACCTATGTGTGCGCAGTCCCTAAGTCAATCAATCTTTATTCATGGTACTTATGAGGCCAAAGGCCTATAGTACAATGTGTGGGGCGTGTTACAAATTCATACATTTTCTTAGTTTCATGGCATGATAAATGAACATTGATAGATTTCTAATAGTTTCTGTACAATCACAAGTCATTAATTTACAAAATTTGTTACCGTTTGGGTTGCGGTAGAAATAGTTATTTAGATATTTTGCTCTTAAATCTTCATACACTGGACATACACATAAAAAGTGATATTCATCTTCAGTACAATCAGTTTTACAAATCCTACAAAGTCTGTGTTCTCTTGCAATACCTTCATATCTGCCTGTTTCAATAAATAGATCATGTGATTGGTCCCTAAGTCAGAACGACATAGACACCTTATGGAAATCCTGGGAATTAGGTCTGGAAACTCCTGAGTCTACTTTGGTGGCATAACACGACACATTTTGGACTGCACAGCGTTACTCCCCATAGAAATATGCGCTGGGGAGACGTGATGTTAAATTAAGATGGAAATGGCATGGAGTATCTGCAGTTTGATGAGCGGCAAACCAAAACACACACTGGTGTAAACATCTGGAATTAGGTCTGGAAACTCCCGAGTCCATTTTGAATACACTTTGGTGGCATAACACGACTGCGTAGCGTTACTCCCCATAGAAATATG